GTAGTAGTAGTAGTAGTAGTAGTAGTAGTAGTAGTAGTAGTAGTAGTAGTAGTAGTAGTAGTAGTAGTAGTAGTAGTAGTAGAGAAGAGTAGAATCTATTTCTTTTGCGGAATAGAATAAACGAAGGTCAAGATGGCTTGTGACTTCTGCTATGACTAATGGGACCAGATGGGTGCATCTAATAAACCACTCCCCTAGCCGAGGGATTCGTGCTGGGGAACTCTTGACAAATGACTGGGAGCATTAAATTTTATGGCAAGATAGAATTTTAGAGTAAAAGAATTAAGGGAAGCAACTAAATGTATAGGCCTACTCTTCTTCAATAGTGGACACATGGATTACCCCTTATGGTCGTAATCGTAAGTTACCTCTCCAGGACATAATAGTGATAGGGGCACAGAACAAATCACTATTTTGTTTTTTTAAACTCATGCCTGTATTGTGTTTTTCTCTCGATCTGTGTAGCGCTCGGTTTCGTGATTTTGTTATCGTGTTTATGTTTGCTGTTGCCCAGTGTTGCACCGAGATGGGAGTGGGTTTTCCTCTTTTGTGTTTCCCTTGAGGACCACAGGTAATGACAACCTTGTTTTAAAGCTTTGAGAAAAGACACACACCACAAACCTGAATTCCTAACATCCACGGCTTGGCTCAAACCAAATCTCTAAAACCCTAACCTTTAACCCTCACCTTTTTACTTAAATTACTAGTCCCTGAATGATAAACCACCGACACGTAATTTATAAAATTATAGCCCAAACCCGTTAGCTATAACGCTTGAAACCCCTACCCTTAAGACCAGTGCCCAAAACCGGCAATCCCTGCCCTCTAGTCCCGTGCCTCTAAAAAACAATACTAATCAAAACCAAATGTGACAAATTGAGTGAAGCAGGGCTATGTGTTGGCACCAACACTATTCAGCATCATGTTCTCAGCAATGATGCATGAACCGTTCCAATTCCAGAGCTCCCCTGCTATCAGGTAGGCCTACAGACTGAACGGTAATTCTCGAAGGCCGCAGGCAAAAACAAAAAACGAGAATGATGCATGTCTATGAACTGCTATTTACCGATTACTTTGCATTACGTGTACTTTCTCATGAAGAATCCAGCATGCAAAACTGTGTTGATCTGTGTTTGCAATTTTTAGATTATTTTAGAAAAATTAACCTCTACACTGCCAGGCCCGAGAATTGGGCGATGAGACAATACGTTTTCGAGTAAAAGCACATTCCTGTGTTTTAGTTTAGGAGTTCGGTATCGTCGTTGTCCCCTCTCCACCGACACTTTCAACCTCACAACGAAAGGGATAGTGAGCTGATCTCGCAGAGACAACCCTTGCGTATACAAAACTTTTCTCTCCCCTGCAGACTCTCAAACTGTGTGTTTCTTTTTCTTTCTTTTTTTTTTCTTTTTTTTGTTCTCAGCCCCTCGGACTTGTTGGTTTAAGTTTAAGTCAAGAAAACCTAATTCCCTACCTTGAGTGATTAAAAACAAAAGACTTCTGAATGTGTAGAAATAAGGCCAGAAAATAAAAGGCAGACCAGGTGCTCAGATATTGCGTACATTGTCTTCTATTAATATTAACCCTCTTATGTGCTAGGGTTACGTCGCCAAAAGTAATCGATAGTGATTATGCATGCTGTATGAAAATGAACAATATCCGTAAAAATGAACCACTTTTTCACTGTAATGTTATTTTATAGAATCTAATGAATTAAAGTCCTCGCACCAGCAAAACACACCTTTAGAAGAAATCCCAGCTGAAACATCACAAGACAGTCGCTGCAGTGGAACCCACAGAGAGCACGAGGTAGGGGAAGGCCACGAGAAACATGGAGGGTATGTGTGAAAAGGGACATGAGAGAGATGAAGCTCACTTTGATCGAGCAGGGAAGGATGGGCCAGAACAGAGATAAATAGAAGGAGCTTGTATGTGGCTTATACCCTGCCAGGGGTGAAAGGCATTGATGATGATGACCAGCAAAACTTTATAAATTATAGTGCTCATTGTGGGCACGGCAGTGGAAGTACCATAGCACGGCCAATGACGTATTAACCGAGGTGTCGGTACTGCTGACACACAGTAGGCAATGGGTGGAGTTACTAGAGGCAAGAGGAGTTGGGAATGTGAGGGGACGGGGCAATGGGGGTGTGGGTTTGGGGTAGGGAATGTGAGGAGGGAGATGGGTGGGGAATGGGAGGATGGGTTGGGGGAGGGAGGGGGCAATGGGGGTGTGGGTTAGGGGTAGGGAATGGGAGGAGGAGAACGTATGGAATGAGAGGATGGGGTGGAGGAAGCAGGGATAGAAAGGGAGGATATGTTGTTGGTTTGGGGGGGGGGGTAATCTTATTATAAATGGGGTATAATAACACAGGAGTACCCTTATTATTCGTATAGTTCAACCAGAGAGACTGACTCAACAATAAATGGGTTTAAATTAAAGCCTTAAAGCACCCACATATATACAAATTTAAAACTAAAAAATCTGTCACGTTAAAAATACATGTATGTTAAGGAGTCGTTCGAAATACGGACACGTCACCGACAGCACACAGAGGAGACACGACCCTACGTCGCCGTAGCAGTGAGCAGTGAAGGGGTCAAAGATTAAGCTACAGCTTTTGTTGTGTATCCTTTCCTTTCACTCCTATATTTCAGGTTTTATTAGCCTAACCTGCTAGCAATGGCATCGATGGTGGTACATGTAATACATGTAGTGATGTCACTATTACCAGCAGGCTCCTACTGCATTGCCATCGCTATTATTGTTATTACTTATTGCATTTTGGATGGGGACCACAATGTTGGCAATGGCTCGGGGGTGGGGGTTGATTACGGCACGTGATAAAGGAAGTAAGTCCACAGACAAATCTTGGTTTAAAAAATCACAGATAAAGGACGCGTGATGCATTAAGCCACACCCCCCACCCCCTCGAAAAACAAAAACAAACAAACAACAAACCCCCCCCCCCAAAAAAAAAAAAAATTTAAAAAAATCAAAAAACAAAAACAAGCAAACACACACAAAAAATGAAATAAAAATGTAAAATAATAAATAAAAATAAACAGATGAATAAAATATGTTTATTTTTTATTGTAAACATTGGCAGACAAAGGAGAAAGACACAAGAGAATGAGGCTAAGAAAGCATCTGGACATAGACAGCCCGTGCCTTTGTAAATTATGGTTCAGGTTCGCACTACAACCATCGACGTCCGTGGTGTTGCAGTTAGGCAATGTTAAAGATCCCTTGGTGGTCTAAAATCAATAAGAGTAGGCTTCGGCCGCCACCCGGGCAAAATTAAAAATTTCCTACCAACTGAAAACTTTTAGTGTGTCCCACGCGCTCATATTATGACCTTATGCAGTTGCGAGCGCCGTAAAGCACTTACCAAAAAAAAAGTTAGGCGATTCACCGCCGCTCGCAGGAGACCCACATTCAATTCCTGAGCGGGTAAAATTCTTATCGAGTACCGGGGTATCTCGCTCTTTCTTCTGGGATGCTGTATCATCCTCAGCCCGGGATGGCTCTGACAGGCATGGTTGGAGCCTGCCTCCTAAAATGATGTAAATTGTGCAGGTGGGAGAGTCAAAACACTGTACCAACAAATGAATAAATAAATAAACAAAAAAATGGGTACATGTACCACTGCTTGTTCTGTCCTACGTCTTTGAAACGGGCCAAGATACATCACGTAGCA